GCATCTTTGGAGGTTGGCCTTCTGCACTGCCTGCCCCAGGGCAAATCTCACTTGCCAGCCCTTTCAATAAGCACACACGTCCAGAACAGGACTGAAAGTCTTGCTCCATAATCTGAAACTTTACAGTCAGAGTTTTCACCTTTCTGTACAGCTTCAATGAGATCGTTCATAAGGCTGGAAGTGGTGCAGAAATTAGCTGCGCCGTAAAAAATGAAGAATTTCAAAATATTTTCAATATGCAGATACCTTGCCAAAAGCACAGTAAAGAGCCCACCATGAATACATTAGAGAAATAAAAAATGTTTGCTCATTTCTAAATTTCTTGAAGCTTGCTTAATGTCAGCAGGTCCATTTAATAGCAGAAATGTAAAACCCTGCGACAGCTATTGAACCCCCGACCCCTGATAGGCAGTTACCAGCTTCGCTGGGACTGGTTTTGAAATCATTCAGTTGGTTAGCCTGCATCTTGTTACAGTCAGTGCGACTGATGCAATACTATGAATCTCTTTTTCCCCTGTACATTTTTAACTCTCTCATGCCAGGGATTATTTTACTCTTCAGAACACAAAACAGGGCTGAACTATTCCTGGGCTTCTGGCATTAAAGTCATCAGCCATTTGCTGAACAAGGCACTAGCTGCATCTATGTTTTGTTAGAACTAGTAAGTATTCAGGAGAAGGAGAAGATAGTTTTTATTTGAAACATTTGCTCTCACATCCTTGAAACAGTGAGGCAGCAAGAAAGGGAGTGAAAAACAGCCTGCCATTTCCTTTCCTCCATGTAGTCTGGATTGCTTTTGACCGAGCATGTGTGCGCATGCACACTCACTCTCTTGCTCTGCTCCTTTACACCGTGACTTCATTGTAAAATTCAATTCATCTGTTCAAAGCAATGACTGAAACATTGTCTCTGAAATTATGGCATTTTTCCACTTTAAAAAATATTTTAACACTTCTTCATTGAAAAGTTATTTTTAAATCTAGTTGGCCTAAAACCAAGTTTGTCGTAACTGGAGCGGATTCTTCTTTCTTTAGAATTCAATGCCTTCCTTTTCTAAAATGTGTTAGTTTGTTAAAAAAAAAAAAAAATTGTCAAAAATAGTAAACGCACAGTTTACACTTATATCTACACTGTTTTGCCCTCCACCATACCAGCACAGTTTGCTTTTCAATTTCTCACTTTGCAGCAAATGCATATGAGTCTTTACTTTTTATAACTTATGAACTGAACTCAAACACCGACTTCAGCAATCCCAGAGCAGAACCACTTACTTTCAGTTTGTATCTGGCTGGGGCACTCATACAACATCACCGCAGCCAGTAAGCGGCTGAGTCAGATTTTATACCTACGAGGTGGATGAAGACCCTACCGAAATACGGTTGAATTGGAAAAAGGAAGCGTCATAGCACTTTTATTACGCAAAGATACATGTGACTTCTGGAACAATTTCTCCATTTACATGTCAACTGCCAAGCAAGAAATAGATGAACAGAGAGAGCCGTTGTGATGTACTTAACTTGAATGAGTATCCTGCATCCACTAAATCTAAGTTCCCGTTTTCCAGGACTGTCTCAAGAGAAACCAGGACATCTGGTCTTTTTAATGAAGTAGCTGATCTGGAATCTGGGTTTGGTAAAGCCTTTTTTCCCCCCTCACCCTGCCCTCCCCTCCCAAAACAGAGACTTGAATCCAAGCAATTAAGATGTCACCAAGAACTATTTTAAGGAACAACAAGCAAACTGACCTGGCAAGAAGAGTATTTTCCTGTGTATTTTTCTTCTCCTTTCAAAAGGAATTTTGTTTTTCTCAAGAGAAAATTCAAACTAAATTACGCTAACTGACTTTATATTCAGCACATGTTCCATATGCCCAGTTTTCCCCACATTGTGACAATTTCACTAACCAAGATGCAAATACATTATTCGTTATACTTCAGTTCTACATGCTTTGTAAAAGCTATCAGCAAGTACAGTAATGCAAAGCACTTGGAAAAGAACACTGTAGTCACTATACCACCTAAAGGAGTTTAACGAGACTTATTTTCTAGGTTGGATTTTCTCAAGTCTAATCACAGCATTAAAGTGTTTGATTCTTCAAATCAAGCAGAAATGATTGTCCAATTCAGGGCTTGATGACAACAAAGCAAAGGTGAACTCTTCATATTAAAAACATTTTTTTCCCTTTCCTTTTTTTTCTATGGCTTAACTACCTAGGGATTTGGAATCAAAATTTCATAAGGACCCAGCATCTAGCTTATCTTTTAACTTATCCATGTTATAAGTGCAATTAAAATGGATTTCATGAGGTTTTTGTTTTGTGGGGTTTTTTTGTTTGTTTGTTTAAATGGCATGCTCTGGAGGGCTACGGTTTTTGTTTTGTTTTGTTTTGTTTTTAGTGAAGGTGATGAAGATGCATAGGGGAAGATCCAAATCCTCCAAGGTATTTAGACACTCAGCTCCCGTGTCTTCAGTATCTGGACTGAAGCTAGAAACAGCTTCTCAGTGCTCTCCTGTCTCTACGCGAGACTGCAGAGTGGAGTGGAGTTTTAATATTAGTAAGAGGTGGCTTGCCAACATGTGTTTGCTGAATGAGGTAGGTCTCCGTTACCTCATTCTGAACGACCCCTTTACTGATCTTATTCAACAAAGCTTTTGAAGATATATTTATCTTTAACCACGTGAGAAATCTCACTTACGTTAATGATTGTGCAACAATAAAAAGTAAAAATAAAAATGATTAGTAGACCCACTGACGATTGTAAACCTGCTCTCCTCTCCTTGATTTTATTTTATTTTTTTAAGGATCTCATTACTCCAATGTTTATTTTTACTTTTGTAAGTTTAAGAGTGCAAACCTAAAGGCAGAGGAATAGAAGCAGCCACAATTTGAATGGGTGGATGTACACAGGACATGATCAACCGTGTGAGTGCTATATCAGGCAGAGGTAACAGGAGGGTTACAGTTCTGCTAGAGGCCCAGAGGAGTAAGGAAGGATTATGCTGTTTTACAAAATCACTGTGATCCTGTTGCTCCTAAGTCCTCAGAACACCTCCTCAAACTTTGTCATCACCTCTCAGGTTTACCTACTTCATTTTCCATGCAATCGGGTGGTAGAAGTCTCCCAATGTCTCATAGGTTACGGGGTTTGAGCCCCTGCAGGCAGCTGCAGACTAATTACACTTGCCTAAGTGGGATAATTTAACCCCCAGAAACCAGCCTGAATGGCTTGTGTGAAAGAGGAGGGGGATGACTGGGGACACAGGTGATGATGCAAGGATCCTCAGGATGAATCAGGTCTGAGGGAAAGATCAGGACAGCTTTCAGTGAGATTTCTTGGAATTACCTTCTGGCTGACAGATCAGGCCAGCGGGAGAACCTAGAGCAAGAGCTTCTCCTTGCTTGAAGCAAAAGGAGAGGCAACAGCTCCATCATCTCTCAAACTTCACAAGTTTCTCCTGTACTTGCCTATATGTATTCTGCCTTATGCTAGCAGCTAACTCTCTCCATCTCAGGTGCTGCTAGTCCTGACCTCTCTGGAGTGCCTCATAGCTCAGGTCTCGAGAGAACAGAACTTCCTCACGCGAATCTTGACCTCCAGGCTCTGCCAGTCCCACCAGTTCCCTGCTGCCCCATCTACCCCCATTCCCTTGACTGAGCACCTAGAGTCAATTCTCCCTCATCTGCAGATCAGCACTCAGCATTTACTGCAGCAGCACAGCCTAAAGTCAGCATATGGTAAAGAAGCATTATAAGCATCAGCTTGATATTTTAAGTGAACACAGTAACATTTACACTTCACATCATCTCCTAGGTAAAGTCCCTCTTCCCATGCCACCACTTCTCTTAACTCCTCCCCACCCAACACCAAAATCCTTTTTTTTCATACTGGCCAACAAAACCAAGGATTTTTGGTGTTTCTGAGCCCAGCTACTGTGGAGACAGAGGAGTCAAAAATTGGTTAAAAATACAAAAAAGAAAAACAGACAAACTTCCAAACCTTCAGAACATTTTAAACCCACTTTAAAGTCTTTCCCAAATACCCTAGAAATGCTTCAACCTCAGAATGAGATGCAGCAGGCAATAGTTCACGGATTAGCTTCAACATTTGCTAGGAAGCATCTTTTGATGCTCCAAATACATCTTTCCTAAGGGTTAATATACCAAAGCAGGAGGAAAGGGAGAAAAAAAAAAAAAAGCACAAAAGCTATGTAACCTCTTTCCACTGTATGACAAACTCTCTCTGCATCATATTCCAAAGTGTGAGATGTGCAATTTCCACTCTCAAGCTCAGTAAAAACGGCATAAAAACTACCAGCCCTGGGAACTGCCTGATTATTAGTTTATCAGATCAAAATCAGCAAAACTGTCTTTTTATGTGCTGCTTAGTTTCAAAAACCTACCATGCATATTTCAGTTCTCCCTCTCCACACCCCACACCCTTCTGCTGCTGTCCAGCTGGAACACATCAAGGGTCTAGAAGCCAAGTCAAATGTTGACCCCACCCTCCTCCATCCATTTTAAGGCACCTTCAAAGCTAGTACACTGATCTAGTTCAGCTTAGCCAACAACGCCAGCAAATCTGTTATTTAAGACTTTAGTGCTGGGTTTTTATAACTGCCCATTAATACAAGCTTTGATGTATGGTCAAAAAATCCAGCTGTAATGAGTTTCATCAGACTGTAGTAACCTTTTCTCAGAAGGTCTTTATTACTATACCTTCATAAGCTTTGGTCCCAATACTGTTTTATAGCATCATTCTTACTGAACTGCCTTAAAAAAAACAACACTCAGCAACATTTAACACATCTCCTTCCCCAAAATTAAAACAAAGAGCTGTTAATAATTTTATAGAAGATACTTTTGCACCAGCATTTGTAATACGAGTTTGTTCTAAAGAGTATGCAGGCAATAGTTGTGCGAACCACAAGAGAAACTGATTTTCCTGACAAAACCCTTGAGGCAGGTTACAAAAGGATTTTGTAAAAGGACAAAGAACTTACTCTGTTGTTCCCCTTTGCAGGACGCAGCAAGGAGGAAAAAGAGGAAAAAAGAAACATTAGATACATTTATTTTACATGCACTCCATCTAACTTGTACAGTTCTGGAAATCACTCAAACCAAATGAGGAACTGACTCAAAGAACATTCACTGAATCCTCTGGTTAGGCGGCTTCCAGGGGAGCACAGGAAATTCGCAAAGGATTGAAGATGTTCGGTGAAGTTGTAAATTCAGTGTTTTTCAAAATTTCCTCTCTACCCAAACGTTCTGATTCTCCTTTTGCTTCCTTCAGTGTAAATCAGGAGTGGCTCCAGGGAAGCCCACGGACACTAATACAAGAGACGGGAAAATAAGGCCTGATACGATCTGGGGATGGGACCAAGGCCAGAGGGATTTTCAGGCATTGGTAACACTGAACTTCTACTACGCAACGCAACCCACTAAACACGTCTGCTTACCTTTCACGACAGCCACTCCCTACAACATGCCAATGAATGGAAAGTTTCATTATCCAATGCTTTTTTAAAAGCAAATATTGTATATTTAGATTAGTAATAAAAAAAGGGAGGAAAAGGCATAAAGGGAGAGGGGAAAAGGAATGGATGGTGCCAGTAAGGTAAAGTGTGCAGAACAAGTTATGACGAACATCTGTGCTATTATTTTTTTAATTGAGAATTTTGCCATGAGCTGGCATGAACAGTGTATATTATACAGTGGGAAGTCAGCCAAAATAAACACCAGCCTACAGTTGAGAAATACAGTCTGGAAAGGTTAGTCATAAAGTTGTAGTCAATTTTTTAAAAAGGAGGTTTGGATGCATCAGTACAGAAACCCAACAGTAATGTCAGCTGGTAAATGGATATCCCGTTTCAAAGTGAATTGGCCACAGTGTGATTTATATCAAGGAAGCTGACTTGCATATGGGTTGGAAAAATAAAAACACTGATTCATTGCTATCCGGGTGGCTGTCAGAGCCCACGTCCTGACAAGAGCAAATCTCCTGGGGGAAGGAGGTGACTTGGCAAACTGCAAAAGAGTTCACGGACTCACGGAGCAGCTTCTTGGGGTGGCTAAAGATAGTTAACAAGAGAGCGAATATATGAATGTGTGTGTCTGCATGTGCAGAGGGCCAGGGAAGGCAGGCAAAAGGCAGCGAGGAAAAGGAGGAATGGAGTGATACCTGGCCTCTAATTTTTAACACATTGAGGAGTTTTGTTTAGGAAAAAAAAAATTTTGCAACCTTGGACTTAGCCTACAAATTAAATTAGCACTAGGGACAAATAGGTGGAGCACGTCTTCATGTTCGTGGCAGTAAGTGTTGAGCCTCGTCACGTCTGTAATTATACAATTTCAAGTGGCACTATTAGAAAAATAATAGAGAAATGAATATTCTTAGTTGAGAGATTTGCTCCTAGGGAGGATTCAGAACAAATCTCTTGAATACAGTGACAAATTCCTAATATTCCTGCCACTGCAGAGGTAACTCAACTAAGGGCAAGTGAGTTGGGTTTTACATCAGCATTCTTGTACATGAGCAGCAGAACTGTTGATGAAAACACACAGCTTAACTTTCAAATTCCAGGCTGTGTGCACTGCTCTGGCAGTTACAGAAAGCAGGCCAGCTTCACCACTGCAATACTCCAGGTTTATAGCACTGTTAATCTATTTTTCATTTCTTAGCAGCAATTTTTCTACTTCTGGTGCCAGAGTCTCAGATACTCGAAGTTACCAGCTGTAACTTGTACATGCGAAACAGTGAGAAGGTCATCCTGTGAAGGGGCTAGGATACCTCTTTGCATTTTTAACTCAGGGATTGCAAAGCTGTGGGGAAGGACTGAAGTGAGAATTGCACCTACTCCCTGGCAGTGTCACTTACACAAAAACAGGGCCCTTAATCCTTTAAAGGAGAATAAAAGACTAGTTGATGTCTCTAAACTATTTTATATTGTCAAAGGAAGATCTGAAACTGATGAGCATGCACATGATTTTAATGAAAAAAGATGCTGCTGATTTTTATTGAAGTTATACTGCAGCTTCTAAGGTGTCATAGGCCTTGGAACTTCTGCTCTACGAAGCACAAAACTTCAGCAGCTTTTCAGTACACATTTGAACCTCCAGTCTTGAAGGTGCAAGACTAGAGCTTGCAGAAACGTGCTATGCCTGCAGAGTGGACTACTGGATGAATTTCAGACTACAGGGTTTTGGAAGAGTAACACGCACTCTTTTTGCAATGTAAAGATAATTCCAGCTCAAAGGAGAACTGAATTTCGAAGACTCCCTTCACTTTCATCCTGCAAAGAAATATCTCATCTTATATCTCTAAGATTCCTTTAACAAAGTTAACTTTAAACAGAAACAAAACAAAAAAATCTTTAGAAAACTTCTTGAAGTAAAATATTTTTAGGGGTAAGGACAAGACAGGCGGACAGAAGAGAAATTTGGAAATCCAACTAGTCTGCCCTGCTTAAAGATAAAGCATAAAATGTATGAATATTACAAATGACACGGAATAAAAGATTAAATTAGATGTAGCAATATGCTAACTGTTTTAACATCACTAAAACCTGAGCAAGAAAAGGAAATAATATAATATTTCAAACCTACTAATTAAATAGATAACCTCTCATAATTATTTTTTCTAAAATGACTTCTGATGGTCTTAGACCCACTGAAGGGTCATTGAAAATTTTAAAAAAAGTACTGATAAAGTCTCAGACATCTGGTAGGTGGCCAGCTACATTTGTATTTAGCCTGTTTAAAAAAAATCATCATCATCACTGCTCATTCCTAAAATAATTGGGGAATCTAACAGTTCACTCTCTGATTTAGCTTTCAATGACAGCCTTGAAACTCAGTATGAAGAGATGAAACTGCAGGTTGGTTGTGTGCCTAAATAGCAGCAGGAAGAGATGCAAACAGAATTGTACTGGAAGCTGTGGACGTATCGCAGATATAAGGGAAGTATTAGGAGAGAAAGACAAGGTGGAAGACAGCACAGACCCTGGAGCAGTGGCCTTTAGGGGGCTGGCCTTTCTATGGAACACAAGCAGGAAGAGGAACAAATTTTATAAAAATAAAGCATCATTTCTCAAAACAGATCTTCCCCTGAAGGGATCTAGCAGAGTAGCAGACATGCTGAAGAAAGGTGAACCACACATTAGAGAAGGAAAAACTGAAAGACTAAAATGACAGATATTTATGTTAAGGTCAGTCATCTCTTTGGATATCTCTCCTCAAACCTTCACTCGATATTACAGAAGAAGGTGTTGCAAACAAGAATAGAGAGAAATACCACAGATATTTTTCACCTCAAACCATTTAACACAAAGCTCAAAACTATAAAAAAACTAAAAATGAAGAACTCCCCTCTATGCTGATCACATCCCTTGGGACTTCCACCATGTAGAGGAGGAAAAAAAAAAAAAAAAGTTGTTACTGCAGATCCATCATGTGTAATAAAGGCACTTTATAACTGCAGTCTTATTCAGCAGATGGAGTAGCCATGGTCTGAATGGTGCTTCACCAATACTGGTATTCAGTATTGAGATTTAGTTCTGGCGCTATAGTCCGTATGGCTATGGCCTCAGCTGCACTGACACTTGAGGAAGCTGGGCTTTCAGCACAGGGCCAGTACCCTCCTCCCAAACTTGTGTATAAACAAGAACAACACAAAAAGACAAAGCCCAAAAAACATGACAGGGTAGCTGGCCATATTTATTTCCTGACTTTCTCTCCTTTCTGTTTAATTAAGAGAGCTCTTTTCTGTTGTCTATTCAATTTGCTTTACTCTATGATTAGTTGAGTAAAACCATCTTGGAAAGGTTTAGCATGTGTTTCATACACAAAAACATGCAGTGAATCAGTAAAACAAACATGACTGCCTGGATGGCTCCGTCAGTCATGTGATATAGAGCTTGCAAGAATGAACTCTTCAGAACACATCTTTACCTTAGAAGACATTAACAGAAACAATAAACATCAGGAAATGCCAAATTGCTCTATTCTTTTACTACTCAGAACGAATGGATAATATTTTATATGATTTTTTTTTATATTGAGGTTTGACACACAAATTAATTTTAAAATATTTCATTATGAATATTTTAAGATAACTGTAGAAGACTCTAATGAGAAAGCTATAATTTCTTGAGATAGCAACAGACATGGTATCTTCACAGATGATGACACTGGGGTTCTGACTCAAACAGAGCAGCTACTGAAACACTAGTGAGCTGTTTAACTTACTGAAGATTTATCAGGATAGACACCGGCTCGTAGCAGAGATGCCTTCCAGCTATCCACCTCCTCTTGGGAGTCACAGGCTAGCTCAAGGAAACGGTAATCCTTGTAAACATTCCTAGAACAAAGAGCACCACATTGTAAAACTAGAATTTTACTATTCTGTATCATGCACACAGCATTTTAAATTAAAAATCCTTTGGGATCAGAAATGATTTGGTAATTGTTTTGGACAACAGAGTTTTGAGACAGGTGCTCGACATGGAGAACTTAAAAATATCTTAGAATGCTACAGCGGAGCTCTGGAAATAATAATGATCTGAAAGGACTGTGTAACTACTTAAAATCAATTTTCCAGCTTTCTGCCAAATTTAGGGCACATTTAGGAAAAAAAAGCTATTGTGATGCAGAGGACAAATGCTCACATAAGACATGACAACAAAATTGTGTCTCGTGACTGACTGCTGCTGTAACCAATAAATACCAAGATAATTAATGATGCAATCTTTTCCCATGTTAGGTCCTTTCAGCGCATTATATACTCTTTTTAGCTTTTAGACATCTTCAGTAAAAAGGGAAAGAAAACAAATGAAAAATTATCAGATTAAAAAAAAAACAATTGATGTCTGCCATAGTAATAAATAAATGGGATATGTTTAAATAATACCTATTGCAGGTAATTAACATAATTACAAAAATGTAAGCATTGTGCATAGGGAATCACTTAATGGAAGAAAAGAGAAAGAGGGAAAAAATACATAATATGAAGGAAGGCGGTACTTGTAAATTCCCCAATAAACAGAACAGATTTTCCCCTTATGGTTTAGCCATTAGTTTCCGCATTCAAAGTCCATATACAGACCAGATTGCTGTAAATTTGTCAGCCAACAGTCTTTTTAGGAAAGGCCAGAAGCTCAGCTGACAAGGGTTATGAAACCACATTTCGCTAGATCTCAACAGATGCACAGGAATCAATCTTCCATTGCAACAAGACCATTTCCTTTCCTTAGCAAGAGGATCACTTAACTTTCAAAGGCAGCAACAACAAGAGGTCCTTTATGCAAGTAGAGAGGCCTTTTCTGCCACCATATTTTGAAAAAAAAAAAAAAAAAGAGTGCACTATAAAACTAGGAAATAAAGTCATTATTACTATTGGCTATATCAATTTCTTCAGCATTCAGGGACTTGAGAGATTTCACCCTTCACATTTCTGGAATAAAATCGACTTGATGTAATTCCCACTCACAGAAGTGCTTTTCCCTTATCAACAAAGTCACCTACAAACAGTTCCTAGCCATGCTTTTTAGGGGATGTTACAGGAAACATATGGATAGAAAAATTGATATTGAACAGTAAGCACTCATGCCTGAGCATGAAGAAGCCAACATGAACCCAGCCATCAAATTATCAACAGTGAAACCACAGTGTGTCACGATGGACAAAATACTTCCACCTTCGAAGAACAGGAAATTAGTTATTACTAGCAAGCTTATAGATTGCATTTGAAACCACAAAAAATAATGGACAAAATCAGATTTCTTTATATTAGTGACATCATTCTCACTAATTTCAGTGACCACATCTAAGCAGCCTGACAGGTGCGCTCAGCACTGGGGCTTGCACTACTGCCCTGAGCATCCAGGTTGGAGATACGGCTGGAGAGTGTTTCAGTGTCATACAGGGCAGCCCACCTGCGTTCCCTTCCCAGGCAAACAAGCCCACAAAGGGGTAGAGCAACATTAAAGGGTCAGGTCCCATACTTTAGGCAAAGCCCCCGGCAGAGTAAATAATTTCAAGTTCTCTGGGTCTTCTACTGATTAGAAATTTAAAATTGAGACTTTTTTTTTCCTCCTGACTCTAAAGGTACTAATATTGAAGATAACAAGATCTGAAGAGGTTGTTCAGGCTATCTGAACTGATGACAAAACACTTGAATTCTAATCAATTTACACTACTGTGAAACTCAGTATTGTTTACCGAGCAAAGCAAAAGACTCAATGAAAATGAAAAGTAAAATGAAATCTCCAGAGAAAAGTGCTTTAATTTATTGTTAAGGAGAAGCTTTTACTGAGATAAGTTTTTGGCTAAGTTATCTAGGCAGCTATAGCAGCGAATGAAAGAGAAACTGAAATAGTAAAGGGCACGCTCAGAAAAAATGACTAAAAATAACAGTAGGGCAAATAAACGCTGTAAAACATTGTGATAGGGAAGTTCCAAAACCACTTATCTGCAAGAGCAAAACAACATGACATCAGCTCGTGAAAACATTTTTGGGGGATTGTCATGTTATATATTAAATTTTTTGACATTTTTGTGACTTGCACAGGATGACCAGTTTATGAAAAGGGTTTATAGCCTACTGCCTTGAACAGAGGGGAGGCCTGGATTCCCGTCTTCGTATCAAGAATTTTTCAGGTCTAGGAGCATCTTATACGACAAAGCCACTGAATGCTTTCCTGCTACCTGAGGCCCGTCTCACTACAGTACCTGAGAGCGCCACCATTTTAGTGTAGCTAACCTTGCCCTACCATCACAAAGGAAGACAGCTTTCAGCTTCACAGCATAAATGAGGAACTAAAGACTGTACACAATAAGTCAGAACTCATAGGAAGCTTGCAGCAGGGCGGGTAAATGGAGGCACGTCTCCCAATTCAGCTCCCTTGCCAATGGACTCCCTTTGCCTTTCTTTCTTCCAGCAACACTGACGGGCACAGGAATTTTACAAAGCAAATAAAACCCAGGTAACTTCTGAAGAGACAAAACTTATCCTTTTTCTGTTACTAGCAGAATCTTACAAAAAACACATCAACATGTTTTACTCATTAGGAATCCACTGGCATCTTACGCAAAGCTGCAAAAAAGTTCTTGAAAACGAATCAAATTTTCTTTTTTGTTCTTTCTTCCACTTTTTAAAATTGCTGAAGATATCAGCACAAAATGTTACTACTCAGTCTTCACCTATTTACTCCATATGGAATACAACGAGGTCACGCTCTCATTCTCGTCTCTATAGCAGCTAAATCGGATGTTATACATCAAAAAGAATACTATAATACAGGATACCGAGAAGCAAAAAAGAAGAACTCCCAACAATAGAAATCTTGTTGATATTCAGACATCTTTAAATTTAAGGGACTGCAGAAGCAAAATAGATGCAATAAATGGGAATCTGCCTAGCAGTACAATCTGTGTGTAACATTCCTCTTGAATATTTAGCATTTTTTAAACATGAACACACAAACAAGGAAACTGTGTGCAAAGTTATATGCATATGCTACATCTGCCTATGCTACTTCCTCCTGAGAGTTTCATCATTGTAATTTATTATCCTGCACAGCATCACAAACATGAAGATATATCTATAGTTGAATTACTGGAAATTGAAATAGTACTTTTTTTCAGGACTGAAAAATACAGAAGACTACCATTTATTATCTACAAGTTTTTTAACAGTTTAAATACATATACCTCAAGAACTGCATTCCAGAAAAATCATACAGTTGAACTAAAAGCAGCATTTCGGATTCTGGAATGGTTCCAGGTTCCGGACATATCTGTGGCCCATTACCTGAAAGCCCAGCAAATAATCAGCTGTAACTTCTTACATAGCAGCTTCTTCACTTTATTGTTACTACTGCTTCCAGCATCCTGGATTCCTTTCCCCGTATTTCAGGGCTCAAAGTGAACTTCTAACGCAGAAAAGACCTTTGCATTGTCCACCTGAAGGTAGTATTTTTTTAACCTCTCTCATCACAGAAGAATCCTAACATGAAAATGCAGGATGCAAGTAAAGTATTTGAAAGTGTACAAGAGAAAACAGAAGAATGCTAGACAACTTTGAAGATTGCAGGTCACTGAGATTCCTGTCCCATTAGTCCCAAACCCTGGGCTGCGGAGCGTTCCATAGGGAAAAGTTAGATTCCTGCAAAAACAGCAGAGCTATATGATCCAGGTCCAACAGTGGCATAAAACTGAACTGAAAACCACAAGCAAAGAGCTTTCTAATTGCCTACTGCAGTGCAGGCAGTACTGGTAGGTTTCCCTCTGCAGTGGTTGCAACTCAAAATTGCTCACTGAGTGGACTCAACGGCTAGACCTCAAGATACACAATTTCTCTTGCAATTTCTTAATACTAAGATAAGGTTATATATTTATCTCCAGAGAACCTGGAAAGAGTTTAAGAGCAACCACTGTATACACACAACATCCACTGCATGGATATCATCTGCATTTACGTGATGTGTAGCCACATATTAAACGTATGCACAGGCAGCTTCTCAGACACTTTAGATTGAGTTGGGCCTGGAATGTTCAGTAGAAATAGATGTACCATAAGTGCATGTAATTTTTTGAATATAGAGAGAAAATATAAATCAAGATTAAATGAAGTTGAATTTATTCTTGCCCCTAAACCTGCCAACATAGGAAGACACAGAACAATAACTACAGAACAAAAATATTAGTGAAATTTTTACAAGCATGTTCATAAGCCAGTTTAATCCTGCAAAGGACGCGCAAACACATTTAACCTGAGTAGTTGCACTGAAGTGAGTGAAACTACCCACAAACTGAAAAATATAGGAATGTATGGGGATTTCGAATAAGTGTGTTTATCGTTTAAAATTGACTTTTTTGTAAACTCGTGGTCTATTCATTAGGATGCAATCAGAACTGAAATGGACCCAAAACTGTGGAACCAAATGCAAACTGGCCCATTTTATTCCATGAAAAAGGCAAATGATTTAATTCTTAAATATTTTTGATTTGTTGAAAATTAAAATCATATAGAATATGGGTTTCATACCTAGCCACATAAAATAAAAAAGAGAGAAAATAACGGAATCCATATACTCCAAATATACATGCGTTATTGAGAAAGATAATCAATCTTGAATGCAACTCACTGTATATACTCCACTTATTCATCCTTAGTGTTAAGTGCACCATTTTAGGCACCTGCGATTACACAATGGCTAGTTTGAATGTACACACTATTTTTCTTATATGAAAGCTCTGCTAGAAGCTCTTCAAATCATATGTATTAAAGAAATGAAACTAACCATCTGCTACGAGTTAAAGCAATGACTAACATTTTCTATCAAGGCATGCCATTTCAGA